TATATATATATATATAAAAGCATAAATTATCATCCATGAGAATTACAAAAATTTCGCCTATCATCGTACCTATCGTTCGAGGTTAGCTGCGAATAGAACGGCCTGTAGTCCAAACTACGAGCGATCTGCTCGGCATCCCGATTGTTCAAAGCGTCGAATTTGATTTTGATGTCCGTGAGGATGTCCTTTTTATCCTCGACATTATTCAATTCGCATAAATGCAGGATTTTCGCTTGGTACCACTCCGCCATGGTCATCTCATTGGCAATTGACTCTTCTAGTAACTTTTCGACTATTTTCGAGTGCAAAGATTTGACCTAACCTAACTTAACCGTCGGCGTCATTGGTCATAATACAGATTACAGAATAATGTCACATATTCTACTTTCTGATTGGACGAGGTCACATGGTACCTTTTGAGGGTTAGGTTAACTTCAAATCCACTGTACTCGAAAGCCGCAAGTGCTATAAATCTGTCCATATTATTTGCACCTTTTATGCTCAATATTTATGCTTTCTTTCTCTTCAATGTCCATACAGATTTTTCTTTTTAAGCAAAAGTTTTTTATTTCAAGCAACACGAACAAACGTGAGTGCGTTCCACTTTACGTATGATGTATTATCTTATCCTTGTTCACCGAGTATTAAAAGAGAATAAAATATTACACATACGCATTCCCGTGCATCCTTAATAATATGTACTTATATACATATACAGTAGATTGCACATTTGCATGCACCGTAAATGAGGTGTAAATGAACAACAAATGAGTGTAAATGAGTCCGCTGACGGCTGATTCCGCTCCGCCCGGTCGCGAAAGATGTCACCTAAAATGTGTCGTACATCCAGCTGCAAATATAAATATTAAAACATCATTTTCTACACAATGTCAGCATCCAACAAAAGTAATTTAAAGAAACAACATATAGTGGGAATACAATTGCGAAAAATACAATACCAGGATTTTCAACTAGAAGGGATATAGGTATGTATTGTGATCATACAATTTCTAAATTCAATTTCTAATGGATTATGATAAACCAAGGTTTATTAATATGAAGGATATGTTTCAATAATTTTTCTGTAGTTAAGAAGCTTCAGAAGTGGATCAAATGAAAAGATTTTTCCAGGTTACCGAGTCCGTGGAAATCTATTCGCTTTCCCGGTAAAGGATTAATCTTAAAATGTACAAAGTGATATCAAGAACATTTGTGTTCAAGGGCGTGAACACGTTGGAGCCCTTAAAACGCAGTCTGATACAACGGGGTCTTGTGAAAGTGGACAGAGAGACGGAGAAGTCCAGGAAAGTAGCCAATCTCAAATGGTACTGGTTTGGCAGGTACATAAATTACATCAAGAACTATGAACATACGCTGGAGCGTAAATTCCCACGTACGATGCAAATGTACCGTGTGTTCAGTGTCGGCACCAGAGACGTGTATACAAACTTAAAAAGTTTCGTCACTGCGATAAAGAAGCAGGGATCGAACGGCGTAGATAGTTTAACACGGGAGCAGCTGCAGCTGATGCACACAATGCCGAGGGATCTGCGAAAGCTCTTGCCATTGTTCCTGCTGTCGGCTGCGCCGTTTACGAATTACATTATTTTTCCTCTAGCTCTGTATTTTCCACGTTACTTATTGACGTCGCACTACTGGACGCTGCAACAGAAGCTAGAATTCATGCTGTCTGATCACAAGGCGAGGTTGAAACACAACAGACCATTGTTCAGATGCATGCAGGCAGAGCTCAAGAGCATCAAGGATGAAACACTCAGAATAAAATGGCGAGACGTTATAGCTTGCTTAGGAAGTGGTACACATCCAACCACTAAGAATATCATAGCTTGTTCCAAGCTCTTTTCAGGCCCACCATATTCCCTCAATAATCTCAAAAGGAAACACCTGGTAAGTTTACAAATTGCACTTATTACTTCTGAATATGAATTTATTCTCTTTTAAAAGTTTATCATAATATAGATAAATGTGTACATTTTCCAGAAAGAATTGTTGGCAATACATGGTATGTCGCTATGGAGACCTTTCAAGAGGAAAAGATTGACGGAAAGGGGTATGTTAATATTGCGAATGGATCGTGCAATTATACGAGAGGGAGGAATAAAAGAAATGTCCAACGAAGCAATGCGATGGGTAGATACTTTTATTAGTTTGACGCTTTCAAAATATTTAAAAAAATCTATTTTTTATGAAAGAATTTATTCTCTTATTTATTTTTATTTATTTATTGTAACCTATACAAAAGATGATTTGTCTTCATTATTTTAATATAATTTACCTTTTTTTTATTTTGAAAAAACCATATGTAAATTATAACTGCAATTATAAATTTTTACTTACATATATATGTATATTTTATATATATATATATATATATATACACATAATACTAAATTTCTAAGTACAATCTAATTATAATTTGTAATTTAATAAATTTTGTTTAAATAGGAAGTATACTGATACAAAAGATATATTAGCGTTATTTTATTATAAATTTACTTTTCAGGCTTTATCCTTTAGAGGCGTAAATCCTGCAAATATGTCTATAGAAAGTATGAGAAGCTGGCTTGAGCAATGGTTAATAGTATCAGCGTCTGTCGACCAAAATAATTTATCTTTGTTATTACACAACCCTATTTTATTAGCTTATAATCATTCAACAAATTGGACTCTTATATATAGTTAAAAAAATTTTAGAATTTTTTAGTTTTGTCGTTAACTGTATAAAGATAATGTTTAACATGGTAAATGTTATTTTATTTATACCAAAGAAATATACGAATCATTTGCATCTATTTATATTTATTTATTTAAATATATATACCAACATACAAATTTTATAATTATATATACATATAAAACAAATACATGTCATGTGTGCATGCATGTGTGCGTCATTATCGCATTTTATTTTGTAAAACTATATAAACCTCTAATTCTATTTTATATACAATTTAACATACTGTTATACTATTGAGTATTATAATATAAGTTTTGTTATTATAAAGAAAAATAAAAATGCTATTCTAATCTAAAAAATGATGAAATAATAAGAGAAAGAAAGAAATATTTCAATAAAAAAATTCACAGGCAGATCTGTACTAACAAAATATAAGCAAATTAATAATAAGCAGTAGACATTTTATCTGTTTGGCTCGTCAAATGATAAGTCCAAACAAATAATATCTCAATTAAAGTTTAAAACTAATAAGTACTAGTAAAAAATATAGATCGCCAAATAGTTTAAAACACTGAACGACTATCAGCATATAACTCATAATTTTTCTTAAAATTCGAATCCTGAACACGTTTAAGTACTGCACTAATTATTATCTTTTTATTATTCTTTTTTTCATTAAGTTCCTTAAATATTTTGTCATAAAATATACAATCAAATTATTCTCACTTCTATCAGATGACAGTAAAAGTATTTCACATTTGTCAAGCACATAGAAAATAGCTCAAAAATTTCATATAGGATAATACATAAATACATGATAAGATCATACAAAGTTTTGCTTGCTAATCTCATAAATATCATAAAATCATAAATAATTCATTGAAAATGAAAAATTTTTTGAACTAATAAATTATTTTTTATTATATATATATATTTTTATAACATATTTACAATGTAATTTGTACTATAAATTAATAGATACTTGTAATATATTTATAATATATCTGAGATAATCGACCGTTGGGATAACAAATATCCTAAGGTATTTTTGATACACAGATTAGTACCTGATACATTGTGATATATATATATATATATCTCGCAATATATCAAATACTCATTTGTTTAGGATCAGACATGAAAATTACTTATAATAGAATGTAATAATGTATTGTAAATATCATTATAAAATAGAAAACTAATAAATTTATATGATTTACTATATGAAATACCATATGAAAAATTTTTTTATGAAATTTTATAATGAATACATTAAAATGAAATCTCCAAAATACACATATGTTTTGAATGAAATAGTTGCCTTGATTTAATTTAAGATTCTTAAATTAACTTCAAAAATTATTTACTAAAAAATAATGTATATATAAATGTTAATTAAAGATGATCAATAGGGATATAACCGCCAATAGAAATTTTCTTTTTTACATTATGATCATAAACCGTTATCCCTAATTCACGTTTATCTTCTTTGAATGAAGATTCGTTTTCTTTAATTTCATTAGTTTTAATTTGCTTTATAGAATCTTCAATTTGAATTTCTTTCTTTTTCTTTAGTTCTTCAGATAAACTAGTTAATTCATAATATCTTAATCGGCCTTCTGAATTTGAATTCTCAGAATTACCATCTGTGGCAAGTGTGGCATGATATTTTTGCGTATCATGCGTTTTATTCAAGTACTTAGTGTTTTTTTCGGAATTAAAGGAATGCGATTTATGAGGATAAGGACAACACTCACCTTTGCTGCAATTCCCCGACTTGTTAAATTCAGGACAAAGATACTCGTGACGTCGTTGACACTATAGGAGAATAAATCAGTACTCTACGTTTTACAAACTATTATTACAAGCCGTTGACATTTGCGTAAGGCATGTAGTTGTTATAATTAAAAATCACCTTAAACCTAATTTTATTAAAGTATTTTTCTTTTTTTTTATAATAGTGATCTCAGATTCATCCACACGGGAGTTGCACAAGTCAATTATCATTAACTTTAATAAAATAGATTTCTATGTGTTAAACCAGTTAAATGGCACACGATGTATGTTTTCTTGCTTGAGTGTTTGCATTTTGGTAAATTACTAAAAATTGTGTTCTGTGTGATGCAATTTTAGTAATTTATTAAACAAGCAATTTAACAAGAAAACACATATCGTGCCGCTAGATTTAATATGATATACTTTTTTATAACATGCACATCAATGATCGGATATTATCAGTCCTATTAATTTAAATTTTATTCTTTTAATTTTTAATTAAAAAATCTATCTATATATATATATATATATATATCACATTCGTTATGATTGATCACTTGCGACCCGCGAACTACATATCTGAAATCTTTTATTTAAAAAAATTTGTATTGTAATGCAAATTAAATAAAAAATATAAAAATATTGTTTTATATAAATAACAGATTAATGTAAATAATGTATCATATGAGTAATCAGTTAAAATACAAGAGAATGTGCAGTTACCTTATTTCCTTTAGCACAATATCCTTGTAGAAAATCTATACAGATTGAAGTGTTAGAAGACACTTTAACATGAAGATAAGGACAGGCATCTCTTGTGCAGCAGCCATCGAGGAAGTACTTGCATGTAGGCATTTTTTCAGGTCCAACATCGTGAGATAAAGAGCATTTGTTTAAGAAACACTTCCCTTGCAGAAAACTGGATATATTAAAAAAAATTGCACAATTTAACATATAATATACATTCATTTTTCAGAGTCTTATCTTATTATAGATAAAGAAATAAAGAATTTTGCAATTTTTTATATTACTGTACTACAGTAATAATATTTATAATACATACTAGGAGATTCAGTTTAACTTAATCAGATGATTTTTGAAAAAGTACTAAAGAAAACACTAAAGAAATTGTTTTCAAAAAAGACAAAGTTCCTTCATATCTTTCATGCAGTTGTTGATATCAATTAATGATACATTTATTCCAGGAAAGAATGTAAGATTATTTAAAGAGAAAGTTCAAACGTAAGAGATAAAAATTCTAGCAATGAATTTCATTACTAAAGAGAGAGGGGAATTTGAAATTTTTAGATATAAAATACCTAAATTAAAATAGAATTTGTAGGGAATTTGAAAATATTTTGTTGTCAGAACTATTAAATACATTTGATAAAATATCATTAATATTGTAATAAAATTTTGATTTTCATTAAAAAAACAAGTTTTTGATCTTGATATAACTTCGACAATTCTATGGGCAAATAAAGATTACCGCATTTCTCCAAAAATTATATGCTCTCTAAATCTGAATCAGTGGATAGTCACTAATTACTCAGTGACATACTTGGCACTGGTAATTAGTGAAGTTTAACTAAAAAAGGAAGAATATTTGAGCATTATGTAACTAAAATACTGATATTTGCATTATTAATTTCAATCTTCCAATATCATATTCATTGAATTTAAGCACTAAAACAAGGTTAGTTAAATCACATAATTAAGATTAGTTATAGTAAAGATCTCATATTTAATTCACTGATTACCAGTGGCATACTTGGCACTGATATCAGTGATTATCCACTCTGATTCAGATTTAGAGAGTGGTTAAATTAAAATCAGTCATCCTGCATTTAGCTTTGACATAATTCTAATAAATATCTGCGTGGTATAGACAAATTAAGAACATTAATATAATGATGTAACGTATGGAAGAAATATGAGATATATTTAATATTTCAAATATTAATTTACTTTTTGCAGAGCGACACCTGATTTTTATCATGTCGTTTAGGACACGTTCCATTTTCATAATTTGGACAAGATCCAAATCGTTGATAAATTAAGCAAGGCTGGTTATTTTTGTGCATTTTATTTCGTAGAATTCGTATGCTTCGTTGCTTTGCTTTGTTGCTAAAACAAAAAGTTCCAAAACTAGTAATAATGAATCCATTTTAGTTTGTAATACAACTTTAAATAATATATATGTATATTACTTGTACCTGATACTATTTTTGTAAGTTGCTTTTGGAGATACATTAAAAGCAAATTTTGTTTTGCTACTGAGGTCCACTTCTGACGTGCGATTTAAACTTTCTTTGCTCATTCGTTGTTTTTTATTAAAACTAACAAATTTATCATTCTTTCCATTGATTGATCGTTTCCCTGATTTTCCAGAAAAAAAAAATATTTTTTAACAAAATATATATTTACAAATTATAAAACTGCGTATACGTAATATTAATAAAATAAAACACGAATACGTGATACACATACGTTTTAATAAAGAGTTCCTTCGAATTAATTTGTTTTTGGAAGCTCTATAAACAATACCACCAATAGTAACAAGTTTCTTTGTGTCGTTTCTGTAATACAAACTTTCCAATTTCGTAAATTATTTATTTTATAACTTATTATATATAATAATAAGTGCGTTACTTACATAACTTTCGTCGTTTCTGACAGACCGATTTCCTTAGCTTTTGATACATGCAACGCAGTTCTGTCTATCTTATATTTGGTCACTTTAGATTTATCGATATTTGATTTTGATAAATTAAGTACCATGCTTGTAGATTGTAATGTGTTACTTATTAATGGTTTCATTTTTATAGATTTTTGCGTTGTCCCTAATTTTTTATCTTTTAACTCTGCATGTTTCGATAATCTACGTTGGTGCAATGGAGAAATTTTTGATGTGTTTTTCGTAGTAGATACTCTCACGAGTTTTCTACGTGATAAAAGTATAATGCTAGAATTACTAGTCTTTCTTGGAGAAATCTTTCGATTATCGATATTTTTTATAAACTTCAATCTTGAACAAACAGGTCGTTCTGCTGCAACTGATTCTTTAGAATTTGTCGACTTTTCCTTGGAAGATAATTTTTTCAATAATGTTGGATTAACATATATAGATCTTTTGACATTCGCTTGTCCAGTACTATTATTTGTTTTTGTTGTACTTGCATTTGTTACGCTTATATTATTTTGTAGTTTTTGATTTGAATTGGAAATATCATGCATCACTTTTGGATTAATATGTATTAAAGGTTTAGCATGGATATTTGGATTGATATGCACTGTTGATTTTTGTGGTTTAAAATTGGGATTAACGTGAACATTTGTGGTGAGCAATGTAGAATTTACATGTACATTTTTAGTTGAGGTCTCAGGTAACATTTTAGAATTCAAAGAAGAATGGCAAACCAGATCTGATTGAACTTTCGGCTTTACAAATTTAAACTTTCTGTTGGAACAGTTAGTTTTCTCATTGGATTGCAAAATTTGTGTTTTTTGTTTATATTGCTCTATCTGACCTGTAATTATATATAGTATAGTTAATCTCATATAATTCCATATCAAGCAAGAAAAAAATGGTTTTATGTCACACACACACACATAACGATAAATTAAACCTTGTTAAGATAATTTCATGAGAATCTTAACAATAGATAGAAAAAAGCCTGTAATAAAAACCAAGAAATTTTGAAAAGCTAATTATTTTAATTCTAATAAACAGCTTAGGCCCATATTCTATAACTCATATAAACGCTAGTTAATTTTTTCTATAATTGATGTTATAAAACTGAACTTAATTAGCATTTATATATTTATTATATCAGTAAATAACTACTGATGTTACTAAACCTGCTTAATGATGACATATAAATATAGTTAATGTAAGGATACCGTGAAGAGTTATAGAACAGGTTCTATCAATATATGATCAGCTTTAATCTTGGTTACTACTTAACTTACTGTTTATCTTTTTCTAATTCTAAAAATTAGAAAAGGGTAAAAAGTAAATTATATAAACCGAGATTAAAATTGATCTTACATTGATGGAACCAGACCATAAAGGCTTTAAAAATTTAGAACAAGTATATTTTTATTGATGTCTGAAGTATAAGAAATATCTTAAATCAATTTAAGATCAATACACATATATAAGACCACGTTATCATCACTATTAATATATGATTCAAACTATTTGCCTGCAACTTTCACTGATTTACCCTCGTTATTATCTTTTGTTATTACTCTCTTCAGTTTGTTTTCGAGAGTGGATCAAAATTAAATTTGTTTTTGACATTGAAACGTTACTGTGTAAATTTTAACATAAACAAGAATTTTATTTTAGACTGTACATGTAAGAACACAATCAATATGAACTAAAAAAAATACCTATACCGGTCAAAGCTGTATTTTTAATGCTTTTAAATATTTCAATATAATTTATATATATACTATATACATGCATATATGTAAAGTATATTTGTAGTTATTCGAACTATGCACTGAATTGATTTTCGACTTATAAACATAATTAAACTATTGTAATAATATCACAAATTAAATTGACAAGGAATTTTTAATAATTTGATGCTCAATCAAACATCATTAGAAAGATGTTAATGTGCTGAAAAACAGTAAATGGGAAACCAATTCAGCGCACAGTTCAAATGACTACAAATATGGTATATGCATGTACATATATAGTATGTAGATAATGCACATTGAATTATTTAAAAGCATTAAAGATCCAATTTCGACCGATATAGGCATTTAATTTCTAGTAAATTTTATATTTTGTTACAAATTTTACCTGTATTTAAATAAAAATCAAGCAATAATATAACAAAATCTGTTAACAATATGATTACAGAAATCGAGTAAAATTTTCTAATCATTTCAATAATATATCCCATTCAAATATTTATGAAAGAATAAATTGTGCTAGTGTTTTCTGTTGGCAATCTGCTGTTAGATTATCAATAGACCCTGCTGGCAGAATGTTAATAGAATTAATGCCGTAATATTCTAATAAAATCTACTGACAAACTATCAGTGTACTGTTAAAATTCAAAATCTAAACAGATTAAACTACATATGTACATACTCTTGGCCTTTATTCCGTATAACGAAAGATCAAGTTATTCTTTTATTCCCTAAAAAAGTGGCAAACTTACTTTTTAAATAATAAATCTCGTTCAGTATATTGACTTCCGTGCTTGCAGATGACGGAACTCCCATTTTTAGAATTTCGGTGAAAGGGTCACATAAGATATATCGCGACGCCTATTTTCTTGAAACGAGATCCGTATCCTTCAATTCCTCCTTTTTCTTTACTGAATCTCTCAGATGTCCGCACTTTCGGGTTCGTAAAGGCTTCGATCAGTACTTCCTGGCTTTCTGAACCCTTCGAAACTATTTAAGTCATTCAAGGCTGTTAACACGTACGCAAAACAACTGTCTCGTGTGAAACTTGAGATTGCACGTTAAAGTCGTAGGTTAAATTATGGTTGGTCCATCGACATTAGGCTGTGTTCTAAAATTCACTGCCAGTGCTGAAAATGTATAATACACGTAACATAAACTATAGATTTTCAGCGCTGGCAAGAATTTGGAACACAGCTAGAGCTCCTATAATCAGAGTTTGCCAGTTTGGTGAAAGCGGGCACAACTGATTGGTTCTCCACCTTGGTCCACTCGATAATCTTCGGATAGCTTCGTACGTATGCATGTACATTTATGACGTTTACATGGCACGCTTTAGGCCGAAATCAGATTATGCATTGAAGCTTGAGATTAAAGAGTAAAGATTGAAATTTCATCAATGAGAACAAAGAAATTTTGACTCCTTTTATTCTGATTGGTCAAACTTCAATCTTTCAATCTTCAATCCACAGTGCTTTAATCTCATTCTTCAATGCGTAGTCTGATTCCAGCCTTATGCTGGATTCACACTGCATCCGATGTGCGTCGTACGACGCTCTGCAACCAATCAGAAAACAGGATTCCGATGATACGAAGCAAAATCCATCG